AAGCTCTATTTTTTAATTTATGACCTCTATTATGTGGTATTAAACCTATTTCTCCCTGTTTCTCTATAGTTTCTTCATCTGTATAATCTAAATTAAAATCCAGTCAGGGAGAAGAATTTTAGTACTATAATGATTTTGCCTTAATTTTATACTTTTTTTAAATGAGTCACATATATAATACCTTTGCTACCATGTTTTTGTTGTTCTTGTTGTTGGTTACTATTTTTAAAAAATATCATCGTTTTAATTAATTGATTATAAATTATTTTTAATTAAGAAAAAAACTGCTTTAATAGTTAACTGTTTGGTATAAATGTTTGGAATCTCATCAATATCCAATGAATCACGTTGTAAAGGATGATCATATTGAAACGAAGAAGTTGGAGTTATTAGAAATTTATTATTGTTATTATCTTTAAAATTGAAATCACTATTCAATCTTGAAGATAAAAAGAGTGTCCGTGCTGCATCTTCAACTGCACTATCTATGATGTATTTTTGATGTTGATTCTGATTATGCTCTTGTTGATTTAGTGATTTTTGTGACTTGGAATCTTTTTGTGATTTTAATCCTTTTGGATTTGGTTGAACAGTATTAGCAGCAATAAAAGGTGAGGAAGAATTAACTTTTTGAATGGATTGCAAATTGAAGGGTTGTTGAGGGGTTGATCCAGATGATGAATATTGATGATGAGGATGCAAAGTGTTAACTAATGAATCAATATGATGGTGTTGGTGGTAAGAAGAAGACGGCATTGGTGAATATTGTATTGAATTATCATAGTTGTCATTGTAATTATTATTTAAATTAATTGTTAATAAATGAGGACTATGTGATGATAATGTGGAGTGGTCTAAATTGGCAAGAACATTGTGTGGTAAATTTAATGTTGTATTTGATTGTTGCGAGAGATGGATCTTCTGGTGGATGTATTCGTATGGCTGTTATCACAGAACAAGGAGTTGAACGATTATTTATTCCAGGAGATCAAGTGCCATGTGAGATTTTTATTAATAAGTTAATTTTGTTTTTAAAGGTTTAATAATAATATTAACATTTTATATTAAAAATAGTAATTGGGGTAATAAATAATTAATCATTATATTTAAGAATGAAAAATAAATGACACTTGATAAAAATCAAAATTTTTCTCCATTTTTAATGGTTAAAAGGTTTTTTATTTTAAAAAATAATGAATTTCTTAAATTCCCTATTCTTCAGCTTTCTTGTATAATTCCAAATACAGCTTTGACAATTATTTCAATTGTTAATTGAGCACCTTTATAATTGAAATTATAGTAAATTCATCTAATGTCTCCTCTAATAGAATTTAAAATAATCCTTAAAACTTGCATCTATACGATGTGTTCGATATCAGGAACACTGTTGATGTCAAATTCTAATTCTATAAAAAGGGTAATCCACTTTCAATTAAAAAATACATTACGTAATTTATTTAACTTGCAAGTTCTTTCCATAATAAATCCATATTTAAAGATTGAAAGTCATATGATCATAAAATGAGTTTGGTGCACGTTTTTATCTATCTATCTATAGTCCAATGTAAGAAGTAATTTATCTTGTATTGCGAGGCGCAGGGAAATTTTTTCATTA